GCCAGAGCCAGTACCTTTGGATCAACGGCTCATCTTGGTGTTGCGCCAGCGCCAGCCTTACCAGCGCCAGATGCTTTGGAGATTAAGAGCTCACCTCCAGATTCCGATCTGCTCCTGGTACTGCGCCCGCGTCAGTGCCAGAATCTGCCTTGCCTCGCTTCGGAAATGATCAGCTCACCTCCAGTTTCCGCATCTGCTCCTGGTACTGCGCCAGCGTTTGTCGCATCTGCACCAGCTCCACCTCCCTCGCCTCGTGCTCGCGCTGCCTCTCATGCTGAATCGCCACCGCTCGCTTCAAGATCTGATTCTCCTTCACCAGCGCTGCCACGTGGTGCTCCACGTGTGCCCCCCCGGAAACGCCATTGGCGGCTGCCTGCACAGAGTGAATGGCGGAGGGATGGAATGGGTGGGACGAGATTCGATGACTTGAGCATTGTGAGACTGAACGTGGCTTCGACTAGCAAAACTAGCAGCAGCGGACATGCGTGCGCGCATGCTTGGTTCAAAATGCTGGAAATAGAGAGCATGGCAACAGTTCAACACACCTGCGGGACACTGGCAGCAGCACTGGCGGCAGCAGCGGCTTCGCATCGTTTCCGCACCTCCTTCTCAAACTGCTCCAGAACCATGGCTGCTTTCTGCCTGACGTCATCAACGTCCACTGCTGACATCATCTCCCGCACCACCAGCTCTACCCACTCTGCACCGCTCGATGGAACACCATCGCCTTCCCCTCCTCCACCTCCCCCTCCTGCTGCAGCTGCTGCTGCTGCGGCTGTTGAATCTAATGCGGGCGCGGAACCTGCTTGACCTGGCAGCGGCTCCTGTACTGGTTGCGCTTGCCCTGTGGTCGGCGAATGAAGATCCGCTTGCTCTGCGGCTGAGAGATGAAACGGATCAGATGAAATGGATGAGATGAAACGTATGACATGACACGGAAATCTAAGAAAGGAAACGCAAGAACGGCATTCGCGTTGTGAACATGCAGGAAAATTGGAAAACATGGGCTGCACGCTGGAGAAAACATCGGAGCGAACGAACAACGCGCTCAGCCCATTGGACCCACCGCGAGCTGCGACGGGATCGGCGGAATGTTGGAGCTGAGCGTGTGATAGCGCGGCGTTATCAGCGGCGATGATTCGCAAGCCCTTGAGCGACTGGATGGCGGAGTCGATGTCGTGATTGCACGCTTCCAACACCTGGTGAACGACCTGCGACGCGACCGCGAGAAGAGAGATGATGGTGAGGAGAGGAGCTACTGTACTTGTTACCGCAGACAGGCAGATACGAGGTTATTAAGGCGAAAAGGCGAGTACGCGAGACATACGCGAGAAAGGCGAAAAGGCGAGAATGCAAATACGAAATGTAAACACGAACCGATACAAGCTAACAGGAGTAGCCGCTCCTCCTCTTGACAGACAGAAACTACTGAAAGAAAATGTAAGAGCATATACGCGCGCTCACCTGCTCCTCCACGCCGCCGAACATGCTTCGCAGCAGCACCACTTTCTCCGCGAAAGACCCTCCGCGGATTCCGACGCTGATTCCTGCCGGGTCTTCAACCCACGCGCAGCGCGACGGCGACGACGGTTGCAACCAGCGACCTCGCTTGGAAACGGGCGGCAGAGCGACGTAGATGCTGTCGTCGAACGCGGACCGGCTTGCTGGATGGAAGACCTCGACGGTGCTCTCCTCGAACACAGACCGCTTACCGCAGACGATCGCCGACATCGCGACTGACGTCCGTCAGGCGTGAGTTGACGGCGAAAGGAGCCTCGCCGGCTCCCTCCACCCCCTCTCTGCCACTTTCTGAAATGTAATTGGGACCAAATATCCTAAGTGTAACCAGTAAGTTGAGTCTACCACTCGAGGCCAGGGCTTGAAGGTGCGTTGATAGATTGACACAGTAACAGCGGTGAGACACGGGACTAGCAGGCTATAATCTACCGGAGAAACCAGGTATTTATCAACAAAATACTACTCGATCAGCTATCATGCAAGAATCCACCTCAACGCCCGAATTCACCTCGCCGTTGAGCTAAGTACTAAGGGGTCCGGAAAGGACCTGCCAGCGCAGCCGAACTGCCAGACAACCACTTGGCTCTAGCGCCAACACAGTAAGTGTTTCCGAGTTTCGTGTGTTATGTCGAACGGGGAGGAATCTAGGGTTTCAGCTGGCTGCCGTGCTTTTGGCGGGAGACTGCTGCTGCTGCTGGGGAGCATGAAGGAGAAGTTGGGAAAGACGAAGCTTGGGATTGTCTTCTGTACCTGGCGTGTATTTTGACTCGAAAACCGTTCGAACTGGTTTGGAATGCGTTTGGTGCGTATTCTGGCCAGATAACTGGCGTTCCAATACGGTACTTCATGATGGCTCCTTGTTTGGTGGGAATTGAAGTGCGACCTTCCGACCCCAATCACGAAATTGCTCCCATTGGACCATCACTAAATCGGCGTCGTTTGCGCCTAGATGATGGATGGATGGACCAGGAACTGGTGTGCGACTGTGCTACTGTGCGACCGGCGCATTATGGGTTCCTCGTAAACCAATCGCGTGATGTGTGCGACTAGGCCAATCACTGAGTATGCTGATGGTTGCCTGCTCTCATAACATGATCCACATCTCACCACCACCACCACTCATCCATCAAACCCAAGGGGATCCATCCCTGACACAGCCCCCACACGCCCTCCCTGACAAATCTGCTGTCTCTCTAGCCGCCAGTCTCCTTTCGACCCAAGCACCGTTGCCTCCTAATCTCTCCCGCATCCGCCGCGTAGCCGTTGATTGTTATCGCCAACTCCAATGCATGCGACTCGGAACTGCGTCGCTTTTGTGGGGTGGCTTTTCCGTTCTCTCATGGTTCCTCTACTACCGTCTACCGTCTACCGTCTGGTCCTTTATCCGTGGCTAGGCAATTATATATAGCAACTATTCATTCGTGTCTCGCACAATCTCCTAGCTTCATGATTTCAGCGAAGAGTTTCACCGTTACGGTTCCACATGAATCTCCTAGCTTAATGTGTGCAACATCTGCTCGTGTGCAACTCGACTTCTACCAGTGCAAGCTTGGAGTTTCTGCTCATGTTTCGCAAGCTGCTCAAGCATGATCGAGCCTTCCAAGGTCAGCCAACATGTTTTCCTTCAAACGTTTTATTCGTCCCAAGCGTCCCCCGAACTTTTTCGGTTTGCATATCCAACTTGTACTAACTCGCGTTTTTTACCATTGCGCAGTGGAATGACGACATTCAAGAAGACCCGCGGTGTGTCATCACTCAAGCCTTTGGACCCCTGATCTGCACTCATTGCGACGCTGGCGGCACGTCCATCCGACATTCTTCAACCAGCTCAACGGCCCTAAATCCTCCAGTCGTCATCGATCATCCTTGTTTCCAGCTAAGTACTCACTTCACCCTCATCGTGTCAGCAATTTGTCTTTTTTTTCATCCGTTCTGCTTGTTTGCTTTTCAGCCAAATTTCCACCCATAGAGCTCCCTATCTCTTCCCCTAGGTCTGGGTTAGTCTCTCTCTAAGTCTGTCTAATGTCAGCGTCGCTAAGTCGTGCGTAGATGCGTCCGTCAATCTGAGCTCTACGGTGCGGTTTTTGGCTGGAATGCCCCCTCCCTCCCACATGCTTCGTGCGCGTTTTTTCGTTTATGGCATCATTCCGTTACTGTGAACTTTATACGAGTCACTTATCTTCTTTTTCTGGCAGGTTCTCCGCGACGATGCTTGAATCATCTGGGAGAAGGAAGGCTCGCTGCACCATCCGATTACATCACGTCAAGATCAAGACTCGGAGCCAGCTGTCCAAACCAAGACGACGTCGCCAACACTCATATTCCTGCAAATACGATTACTGATAAGTATCAATCCACCCTAATGTTTTTCTCATTCAATTTCCGCTCATTGTTCTCATCAATGTTATTTGTCATGCTGAAGCGCTTAACGCAACTGCTATATGAGCCATTCCCCTTGAGATGGTATTTTTTTCTATCAAATACTTTCTCTGGTGAGTCCTTGAGGTCTCTTTTTGGTATTTTTTTGGTACTTGGCTCTAATAGCAGTGGTGTTAAGCTCTTTTGCATCGTGTTCCTGCATACCCGTACCACGCATCATGCACATGCCTACTTTCCTTGCTTGTTTGGTTTGGTCTTTCGACTGCTACATGTACTCACTCACTCTCCCTCCTCTATCCTGCAATGGCAGATTATCTTCTTGGACGCCATCGGAGCACCACTGCGCTCAACACATCAAGTCATCATGCAAGGAACTCTCTGTTGCCAACAATGCTGCTACGGTTCTAAGTCAAGACGTCAACCTACCAACTCTCAAGATCTGAACTTCGACTACAGATAAGTATCAACCTTTATTTGTTTTTTTTTTGTTTTTTTTTTTTTTTTCCACTGCATTTTCCGCTCATCGTTTTCATTCTCGTTTTTTTGTCATCCTAGAGCGCTTATCATAACTGCTATACGAGCCATTCCCCTTAGGTGGTATCTTTTTAATCATGTACTTTCTCTGGTAAGTTCTTCAGGTCTCTAATTGGTATTATTTGGTACTTGGCTCCCATTGCAGTGGTGTTAATCGCTTTTGCATCGTGTTTCTGCATACCTGTGCCACCCATCATTCGCATACATACATTCGTTACTCCTTTGGACCTTTCACTGTTGCATGTACTCAGTCACTCTCCCTCCTCTATCCTTCAATGGCAAAAGCATCGGGAACAACACTGCGCTCAACACGAAAAGGTTGTTCATCCTTCAAACGACTTCCTGGAGCCAACATTGAAGCAGCGGAGTCAACCCCCTTGTCCAATGGCACATCTGGAGCGAGCACTGAAGACTTACAACCCACGTTCGATATGGAGATAAGTATCTTCTAAGCATCGCCTCTGATATTGTGTTTTCGCTTACTATCTTGAGCTTTTATACCCTGCTTTCGATTCCATCATGTCATTCACCACATGCATGTATGCATGAGCGCTAACCACCGTCACCACATGAGTCATTCCCCCTTAAGCTGGTCAGGTATTTGGAATAAGGTAATTTTTTCTCTGGTGAGATCTTGAGGTCTCTTAAGGTGTGTTTTCTGGTATCTGACTCATGTGAATGTGGTGGTAAACGCTCATGCATCTATGCTACTCCGTCCCCATCATGCACACTGATACATGGTTACCCATAGAGCTCCTAGTGCCATTTTTATCAACATTTTCTCCCAATCCCTGTCCTTTCATTGGCAGGACTTCTTGTCAACACTGTGCGATCTACAGCTTACCTGGCAGCTCTGATGAAAGTTTTACCATCAAGTCCCTTCATTGATTTCAACCTTTGGAATTGAAGGTAAGCTGCTTACTTTTAATGGTTAAGTGTTCAACTTTTTTACTTTGACTGACCTCCTTGTTTTCATTCCACAGGTACTTCACTACTCAAGCTCTTCAACAACCACTTACCTCGGGACACTTAACAATCAAGCATCCCAACATACAAGGCCCCCAAGGTAACGCTTTTGACTTCATGAATGATATGGTTCTTTGTTCTGTTAAAACCTTGATTGACATTTCCTTGTTTACTTCTGCAGGTACCTCACCACTTAAGTTCTTCATCAACCATTTCCCTTTCAAGACCTCGATTAAACATCCCAGCACCCAAGGCCCCAAGGTAATGCTCTTAACTTGTTTCTTTATACGATTTTTGTTCCAACCTTAACTGACGTCTCCTCGATTTTTTTTTTTTTGTTTTTTTTTTGTTTTTTTTTTTTTTTAAGGTGCCTCACCATGCGCCTCGCCTCTCAAGACTTTCAGCAATTGGCATCACATCCCAACGTTCAAGGCCCCCAAGGTAACGTTCTTGATTTTTTTTTTTTTTTTTTCCTGTTCATTACTTCGTTTTTACCTTTTTCTAACGTCTCCTTGTTTCCCTTTTGCAGGTACCTCACCGCTCAAGCCCTTCAACTGCCACTCGTCTTTCAAGACCTTCAACAACTCGCCTTTCAAGACCTTCAACAAATGAAGATTTAAGGCCGCCACTTTCAAGACCTTGAGCAAATACAGCTTCTCAATATTCAAGGCCACCAAGGTACTGGTTTTTACCTTCAGGTGTTTGTTTTCCTCCGCATCCAGGCCGACATTCGTTTTTTCACCTTGCAGGTATTTCAGCATGGAAATTTTCGACCAACAGTTCAACTCAGCATCCTCAGAACGAAGGTACATACCCTTGTTAACTTCCAGTTTTTTTTTCTCTACTTACCAAGATACTGACCTTTTCTCTTGTCTCCTGCAGGTGCACCAGGAGGGGTTGGCATGGCAAGTGGCATTGAAGGCACCAAGGTATGAGGAGGCTACCGCATGGTTGAGAGCACTCTTGGGGTTGGCTAATCTCGAATCCAGGCCATACACAATGGTTCTGTCCGGTAGCAGAGCTGACTGCAACGGCTCAGCAACTTGATGGGGGTCCAAAGGACAGAACCGGCGTACATGGGCTCCTGCATGTCTTGATACTAGCAACCCTGAGGGTGGGTCAGTCCTCCCTGTGGTGGGGGAGGATGGTTTGAACCTCCAACAGCCAGTCCTCCCTGAGGTGGGGGAGGATGACACATGCCTTAACAGCCAGTCCTCCCTGTGGTGGGGGAGGATGGCTTAAGCCTCCAACAGCCAGTCCTCCCTGTGGTGAGGGAGGATGGCTTAATGCCTCTTGCCTGCAGCCAGTCCTCCCTGGGGTAGGGGAGGATGGCTCAATTCCTCCTGCAGCCAACCCCTCCCAAGGCATGAGACAGTCAAACAACTACTACCAGGTGAGCTGTTTTGCTTTCTTTGCTTTCATTCCTTGAAGTCTCTGCCAGGGGATTAACATTCTTGGTTGCACTCTGCAGATTACTTGTGCATCAACATTGTATCTGCAACAGCACCGCAACCACTTGCTGCCTTCATTGCTGGAGCAACAGCAAGTGCTTGTAGGGTTCCATGGAACCTAATATCGAGTACAAAGTTAATGTGTTGTACTGCTGCTGCATTAGAATAAAACTTCTGTTGCTCTTGATGTTGAGAGTTCACAATAATAATCTAGTTCAGGTGACAAAATCTTAAATGGTCAGCCTTGTACTAAGGGCGCGTCAGATCCGTTACAAGGTGATTTGGCTGAAATTTGGGCGACAATTTGGTCGACCAAATCTTTTGCCAAAGTCGACAACATGGTCGAGTTCAATAGCGACCAATATCCGGCCACATTTACAGGGCCGAAAAATCTGACACATTTGGTGGCCGATTTGCAGGCCGCTTTGCAAATGTGTCAGATTTGCAGTTCGCCAGGGTGGCCAGATTGTGCGACGGAGTCGCAGATCCTGTAATTGTGTGACACATTGCGTCGCACGAGTTGGCGACGTCGCGTGGTGACTATGGCGATCTCAGGTCGACAAATTGGTCGACTTTCGAGTCGACAGCACGTCGGAACTTTGTCGAATGCTGAACCGGCCATCAAATTTTTTACAAATGGCCGGATTTGGCGAATAATACGAAAACATATGCGACGGTCGCAAATGTGTTACTTTCGCTAATTCCGGCCGGCCGGATTTTTCCGACGCGCCCTAAAGATGAACTGCTGGGGCGATGGGCTTCTCTATCCAATGAAGGTGGTGTTCGCCAGCACTTTTCTAAGCAAAAACGAGGGGATGATGACGGGATGAGGAAGGTAAGTCTCGCCTTCCTGATCCCGTCAGTTAGGGTTCGTTAACCTCCGTCAGCCTGGTCAGCCCGTAAAAATGCTGCCGAGCCTCTCATGCCGTCCGAACCTCTTAGAAAAGTGAGGGCGTGGCGAACGCCCCCAATTTTCACCAATTTCGAAATGCTTGACCGCATGTGGAAACGGGGTCGCAGTTTCCTCCCCTGGCAAAAACCATCCCCCGGCGATGCCATCGCCATCCACCTATCCACGGGCGTTGTTCTGCAGGCGTTTAGGGTTCCGCACCAATTTGACCGCGTTAGCCTTCCGTGTATATTCCAGGCGCATTCATGCTGGTTGCGTTGCGCGGATGTTGCTGCCCCGCATAACTTGTGCGGGGGTTGATGCTAGCTCCCGAGGTAGAATCAGCACCGCACTAGTTGTGCATCCATTTGCCCGGTGAAGCAACATCTTCGAACCAGCAAACGTTTAAAATTTTGCGCCCCTAAAGTGTTGTTCTGCTGGCAGAGGCGTTAAATTTGGCGCGAACAGGTTTGGCAGTACTTCGCTTATCACCAAACCTTGATAGGCAGAAACCCACTTATCGGCGAAGATTCAGCGGACCAAGATTTTCGAAATTTAACGCCTGCAGAACAGCGCCACGGTGAATGGCGATGACATGGCTGTGGCATTGCACGTCAGAGGGGAACTGCGGAAGGTGGGGCTGGGGGTTCCATATGCGGTTGCGAATTTTCCCGTTTTGGGAATCGAAGTTTCTCGGGCCGCATTGCGCCCAGACCTCTTGGGCGGGTTCCGCCCCCGTTTCCTGATGCGGTCACCATGCCGATGCCGTCAAAATGCCATCTATTTTCGAATGTGCTGGCGAACACCGCCGAAGTGATTCCTGCTGTCCGGCACTTCCCCGCCTGACAACCTCGAAATTTCCCATTTACCGCCAATACGAGCTCAGCCAATCAGTGGCCTTGCATCAGTTTTCCCGCGTTGCTCCTTCCACCGAGATCACTCCAAGGTGCGCGAAGAGCTTGCGCTTGGCGGAGGACAGAATCAGCGGAGGGCGGAAAGTTTGGCGCGCTTATTCCGCTCCCCCGCGCACATCACTTCCGCTTGGTTCCATTCCGAGATTCCCGCTCATCGAGAAAGGAACTACACCCTGTTTCTCGCCATTGTGAATTTCGGTATACTGCATTGCCTGTTACTAGAAACTCACCCCGTACAGAAGCGCACTATCAACTGCGTTATAGTGAATTTTGAACCAGCGCGATCCAGTGTGATGGGTTACGTTTTCGAAAGGTCCCTGGACATGTTGGAATGGCTGGTTAGGGTATTTGGGGAAAGTGCATTCTGAGAACCTTCCCTCAGAACACTCACCTTCAAAGGACGGTTGACTGGTTTCGGTAATAGCAAAGTTCCGAATACTGCCAAGGTAAACTTCTTACGCGGTTCATTGTAGCGGAAAACAGGGTGTAGAATGACAATCGCGGCAACGGAATTGATCAACCAGCAGAGTCACCCGCGATCAGCTAACTGGCGAAGTCGTATAGCGGCGATCCCGTGCAGGTGCACGTCGTAGCACGTCGTAGCGCGTCGATGCGAAGGGTGTTGCCGATCCGCCGTCTAGACTCTGTGGAAGCGACATAGTCTCGTGATTGCAAATCTGGCCGGCTAAGTTATCGAGCTATCGTCGCAGGGGTGCCTGCGTTTCGTCAGCTGAACGAATCTGTCGCTTGCCTTCGCAATGGTAGCGTCTGAGCTTTCCGCGTCGCCGGCGCAGCCAGCGCAGTCGCACATTCCGCACGCGACATCTTTTGCGACAGTCGCCAGTCCAACAAGCGGTGCTGCGTCCATTGACGAGCAATACCTAGAGGTAGCTAGCGTCAGTTCAGGTGCATGCGGTGTGGGTTCATGCGCAGGAGATCGATGTTGTCTCAAAGCGACGTTTGAAGTCATGACCTCCATAGTGTATTATATCGTGTATTTTGCGTAGAAGCTCGCTCCTGCATCTCATGCTTCCTAGAGTTACCTTATGACTCTCGTCGACGTTTGATCGCTTTCAAGATACCCCCCACTCCACATCATTTTATCGTTATATATTTTTCTTTTTCGTCCCTTCACTCACATGCCCGCTGTCGCTCCATTCAGTCGCAAGCTCGTCGCTGGCTGTCGCAGACTTTATCGCGAACTCTTCCCGCCGATAAGCCGTTGAGCGATCTGCTAGGAGATGGCGAAATACTGTGAGTTCTTGATGCCTCTAGTTATCGATGCCTCTAGTTCCCGTTGCGTCTGCTCCTCGATACCTCTGATCGTCGGTTCCATCTTCATTCCGTCTCTTCTCCCTTTACTCGTTCCGTCTTCATTCCGTCTCCTCTCTCCCGTACTCATTCCGCCTTTCCCCTCTCTTTTCTCCCCCTCTCTCCCCCCACTCCTCTCACCCGCCGTTTCCCTCCCGCCTACTGATCGCGCCGGACGCTCCCCCCTCCGAGTTTGAAACGTCTCATAATTTCCCGCTCCCTTCCCCCCATACAGGCTCGAGCTCGCGTGTTTGGTGCAGCAGCTGCTTGCGCCCGACGTGCCCCCCTCCTCCGCCAGCTTCCCCCTGACGGCGGACTTTGACTCCGCCCCGCCTGCGAACCCCCGCGCGCCCGCTTCCACCGCCGCCACTACCCAGAGTGGTGCTGCTGCGGAGGGTGGTACTGGGGTTAGTGCTGCTGATGCAGCGGCTGGTGACGACAGCGGCAACGGAAGCGGCAGCGCGAACGGGAGCTGTTCCAGCGAGGAGAGTGGTGGCGCGGCGGGCGGGTCGGGCTTTAAGCGCGCGTACTGGCATGCGTGCACCAACGTGGAGCGCTTTCTCAAGGTGAGCGGTGGGCTTTCCATTGCTCTCCTCTCCCGGCCGCGTAGCTCCGAGGGGCGCTCACACTCCCCTCACCTCGCCCGACCTTGTGGGTCGCAGGGACTCTCAGCACCACCAGTCGTCCCTGCGTCCCCTTCCCTCCGAGTCCCCCGCTTCCTCCTCCGCGTTCCTACTCCCCAGGTGTGTCGGCGGGTGGGTCTGAGGGAAGTATCGCTCTTCACCTCGGACCTCGTGGATGCAAGACAAGCTCACCGTTCCCTTACGCTCATGTCCCCTGTGCCCCGTTCAGGTGTGTCGGCGGGTGGGTCTGTCTGAGGGACGTATCGCTCTTCACCTCGCCTGACCTTGTGGATGGCACCCATTTACTGCCATGTCACCCTATGTTTGCCCGCTGTTCCCCTGCTGTTCCTCCGGTGTCCCCCCCCCTTCTCCCCAGGTGTGTCGGCGGGTGGGTCTGAGGGACGTATCGCTCTTCACCTCGCCAGACCTCGTGGATGGCAGGGATGTTCGCCGCGTCTGCCTGTGCCTGCGCACGCTGTCCAAGCGACTCGTGGGCATTCGGGATTTCGACGGCATAATGGTGACCGCCTCGTCTGCTGCTCGCCAGAGACTCATCTCCTCCTCCTCTTCTTCTACTACCTCCTCCTTCCCATCCAACCCTTGTGCTCAGCCGTCCGCTCTCGCCCCTTCTCTGGCTGAATTGACACGCGCAGCATCCATAACCCTTCCCTCCACTACCCCTGCTGCTGCTGCTGCTGCCGCTGCTGCTGCTGTTGCTGCTGCTGATGCCGGTGCTGGCACCATGAGTGGACCTTTGTTGAGTCCGGACTATGCTGGCTTAGGCACAGAAGAAGGAGGAGAAGGGATGGCAGGAGCGGCACTTGAAGGCCCTCGTGCTTCCACCACTGCGTGTCTCTTCAAGTCTGAGCAGAAGGAGCAGATGGAGCAGCAACAACAGCAACAGCAGAAGCAGTTCACTCTAGCAACTACCACCAAGTCATTACATTCAGAGTCGCCATACTCAGAGGCGCTTTCAAGCACCAACAGGGAAGCCGGTCTCAAGTCGACTCAAAAGCCACTGGCAGCCCAATCCGAGAATGCACCAGCCTGGTTCGGACTGGACGAGGAGGAAAGGCGGAGCATGGTGGGCGGTATTCCTGCTGGCCTTCCGTCACTCCGCGTGCACGGGAGGCCCGTGGGGGGAGCGCCAGTAGAAGCAGTGCCAGCAGCAGTGTCAGCAGCAGCAGCGGCAGCGCCTACAGAGCGTGCAGCTGTAGCAGGTGTGGCAGTTGCTGGTAGCGCGAGGGCGCGAGGGCAGGATTGGAGGGGCGAGAGGGCGGATGCGTGGCATGAGAGCCACGAGCAGCAGCATGTGTATCATCGACAGAAGCAGCAGTCGAATGCATGTGAACGCGTGCATGATGCACCTCACGAGCCGCAGCAGCATATGCACCAACGGTACCATCAGCATCCGATCCAACACCGCCATGCTTCTGCTTCGGAGGCGCGGCAAAACAGCCACCGTCTGAGTGAAAATCACCGCGTGTTAGAGCAGAAGCAGAAGCAGAGCGGGGAACGTCACTTGGGAGCTAGTGGTGCCGCTGCTGTGCCTGCTGCTGCTGGAGCTAGGGCTGCTGTGCCTGCTGCTCCGGTGGACGTGTCGCCTCGCTTCCTTCCGCCCGACCCCACCTCCCTCACCCCCGTCCTCGTACGTCCTCGCCCCCCCCTCTCCCTCGTTCTCCCAATCGTCAACCCCCTCCTTCCCCTTCCCACACTCCCCTTCGCTCTTTCCCCTCACACCACACCCCCGCCTCTTCCTTCCCTGGTTCTTCCACAACCCTCCCGCCCCTCCTCTTCCTGCGCCTTCGTTTTTCATGCCTTCCTCTCGTTCTGCTGAACTCGTGTCAGTTCTCACCCCACCTCACACCCACCATGCACCACCAGCTGGACCACCTGAGCAGTCCCCTCCCTGTCGACTCGCCTTGCCCCTCTCCCGCACTCACTCCAATGCTTTCTCTCACCCCCTTCCGCCTGCCCTTCCCTCTCCGTTTTCCCCACTTACCCGTGGCCTGTTCCCCTATTCCACCAGCCGGACCACCTTAGTAGTCCCCGCAGAGTGGCCTCGCCCCTCTCTCGCACCCACTCCAACGCCTCCTCTACCTCCGCCGCCCTGCATAGCACTCACTCGCTCTCCCGCCACAGTCACACCCGCGGCAGTCACCGCAGCCACAGTCACGCGCTGGGGCTGGTGGGGGAGGGGGAGGGCGAGCAGAGGCGGAGAGGCGTGTGGGATTTGGTTGCTGCTGCTGGGGCTGTGGCGCTGGTTGGAGGAGCGATGGCGCTGGCGAATAGGAGCAACAGACGGACGCGGGAGGAGAGGAGACGGTGAGTGAGAGGAGGGGAGAGGAGAGTTGGTGAGGAAGGAGAGAAAAAGAGGGGAGACGGGGAGGTGAGTAGAAGGAGGGGAGAGGAGAGGAGACGAGATGAGTGGGGATGAGCAGGCTTTTTCTTATGAGGTGGCTCAATTTTCTGTGGTGCAGCAACTGAGACAGCTACAGTGGTGCAGCTACAGGTCCCCCTCCCCCTTGTATGGCCCCTTCTGCTGTATCCTCGCACTTCCTCCCCACATCTCCGTGCATTGCACTGCACCGCATTGCACCGTACTGCATGTCCCTTGCTTGCAGGCGAGCGCTGGAGTACGAGCGGCCGAGCTTCACCGACCACATTGCGCAGCGGCCACACCTTGGCATGTGAGTGCCACGAGCTCTTCGTGAGTCAATGCAATGCGAAGGTGCAGTGCGGTGCATACAGGTGTGGTAAGGTTTTGCGAGCTGGACCGTCTCTTCCTTTGCAAGCGAGCGCTGGAGTACGAGCGGCCGAGCTTCACCGACCACATCGCACAGCGGCCACACCTCGGCATGTGAGTGCGACATGCTCCTCATAAGTAAATGTAGGTGTGGTGAAATAGTGCAATGTTCACCGACCACATTGCACAGCAGCCACGCCTCGACATGTGAGTGCGCTCGCTAGTCTATGCAATGAGGCAGTGCAGTGCGGTGCATGCAGGTGTGGTGGTGAGATAGTGCGATTCCCACCGACCACGTTGCACGGTGGCCGCACCTCGGCATGTGAGTTCGACGTGCTCCTCGTAAGAAAATGCACCGGGTGTTAGAGCTCAACTTTTGAGACGTCTCAAAATGTGTTTGAGCTCAACTTTTGAGACGTCTCAAAATGTGTTTGAGCTCAACTTTTGAGACGTCTCAAAATGTGTTTGAGCTCAGCTTCTGGGACTCGCCTGTGACCGTCCCTAGTGATTCCCCATCCACCCTCCTTTCCCTTATCCCCTCTCTCCCCTCCTGCTTTTCCCTCCCCCTCTTCCCCCCACCTTTCCCACCATCCCAGGGGCTTTGGTGGAGTGTTTGAGCTCAACTTTGGGGACTCGCCTGTGGTTGATCCTAGTGGTTCCCCCATGCATCCCCTCTTCCCATATCCCCACTCTACTTCCCGATTTCCCTCCTCTCCGCCTGCCCTTGCACCATCGCAGGGGCTTTGGTGGAGTGTTTGAGCTCAACTTTGGGGATACCCCTGTGGCTGCTGCGGCCACCGACGCAGCAGATGGCGACGAGGGCGAGGGGCAGGGGGGCAGCGAGGGGGAGAGGGAGAGGGGGAGGGAAGGTGGGAGGGAGAGGGGAGCGGAGCAGGTGGTTCGAGAGGACGAGCCGACAGGGCTGGGCAGACGGGAGGCACGGTGAGTGCTGCTGCTGGTGTGGGTGGTGTTGCTGCCATGGGCGCTGGCGACTTCTGAGACTCGCCCCTGATTCATGTCTCTTGGCTCGCAGCGAAACCCAGCAGCAGGAGAAGGGAGATGGGCGGTCATTTGCTGAATGCAGCTGTGCGCTGTGTCCCCCTCCCTCTGCTGTTCCCTCCCTGCCTGTGCACCCGTCCCCTGCCTCGCAGCGAAACCCAGCAGCAGGAGAAGGGAGATGGAGGGTCATTTGCTGAATGCAGCTGTGCTCTGTGTCCCCTGTCCTCTGCTGTTCTCTCCCTCACCCCGTACCATTCCCCCAGTCGCCCCTGGTTCATGTCTCTTGGCTCGCAGCGGAACCCAGCAGGACAGGGAAGCAGCAACACGAGCAACAGCAATGGCAGCAGTGGTGGTGGCAGCAGTAGCAGCAGCAGCGGAGGGTGGCGGAGGGGTCCCAAGCCCTTGCCGCGGTGGCAGCAGGCGGAGCTGGTGTTGAGGCAGCAGCGGGAGATGGTCATTCGCCGCTTGCATGGGGACCGCCGCTCCATGGCTGAGATCTGGTGGGTGCGGATGGGTGCGGATGGGTGCGGATGGGTACTGGTGGGTTATGGTGGGAACTGGTGTTGAGGCAGCAGAGGGAGATGGTCATTCGCCGCCTGCATGGGGACCGCCGCTCCATGGCTGAGATCTGGTGGGTGCTGGTTGGTGCTGGTGGGTTATGATGGGTGTTGCATGTGACACTGGCGCTTCACACCTCTGTACCCCCATTATCATGTCCCCATCTCACTTGGATCTCCCCTCTTATCGGTCCTGCCCATGCTGCATGGCCCATGCCTGCCCACTTCCCCCACGCCCGCGCCCCCACCCGCCCGTTCCCCTCCATGCAGTGGCCCGGACGAGGAGAGGTACTCGGATCCCAATATCTCTCTGGCCAGGGCTATGCAGCCAATATCCCGTTGTCTACCCCTTTGTCTAGTCTCCCTGTTGTCAAGTCCCTTCATTTCCTAGTCCAGTCTCCTCCCTCCGCCCCTCCATGCAGTGGCCTGGATGAGGAGAGGTACTGAATACAGAGCATGCCTGGGTGGACCTCTGAGTTGATTTTTTAGGCGCCTCAAACTCAATGAGCATGCCTGGATGGACCTTTTGAGACGTCTCAAAAGTTTACTGCGTGCAGAGCAGGCCTGGATGGACCTCTACCGGGGCTATGCAGCCGCCATCCTGTTCCCGAGTCCGCCCACCCTCTAACGGGAATCTGTCTCCTGTTTCTGCCTCCCTCCCCTTCCAGTCGTCGGGACGAGGAGAAGTCATCAGATCTTATTCGCGAGCCCCCCTTCATCCCCCCTCCCCCCTCCTTCTGTCCCACCCCCGCCCCTGTCCATGCAGTCGTCTGGACGAGGAGAAGTACTCAGATCTCTGCCGGGGCTACGAAGAGGCTCGCAAGAAAGAGGGGGGCGCTGCTGGGAGCGCAGGAGGCGAGGGTGGGGGGAGGGCGGAAGGGGGCGTGTACGAGGTGGAGGAGGGGGATACGCTGAGCACCATTGCAGACCGGTTCAGGCGCAGTGTGGGGGAG